TGCCATAATTAAGATGGGTAAAAAAATAAAATGATGGACGTCAATTAACTGCTTGCACGTGTAAGACACAAGGAAAAGAAATACGAGTCGCGTCTCGTGGCAAGCGATGCAACCTTTGCATCAGTTACGAAGAGCTGCCGGCCGCGCATATACCGTCATGCACTTGTCTGTGCATCTATTGGACTGCGCGACTGATATATCTGTATACGTGGTGGATGTCTTATTGCAGCGCTATAGCGCGTCTACGAGTCTATAATGTTGAACGACTCGATGTATATAGCAGGGAACGCGTCGTACCATGCGGGCTCCGTTTCTCTGCTGCGATTTAGTGTTGTGTAATTCGTGTAGGCGAACGAGGGAATACGGCGTTGTTAGCTTAGCACTGCTTGTCTGTTATGGCAGCTCCAAAGCGTGATATCCAAACAGTGCCATGCCGGGCGGCGATCTCGTGTGACCAATTAATTACTCCTCCTCGCATCTGCAGAGCGCTCTCGTTTACTTTAGAACGCAGCCTCGCGCGCTTTGCAAGTGCTGGTCCCCCACAAAGGGCTCTGTTGTCCGAGGTAAAACTAGCAACTTAGCGTCTTCAGTACGCCTGTGCATATGTCTTTCTTCATAAGCGCAATAGGAGAATTTGAAGCCATATGTATATTCAAACACTGCTTGTGCTGCAGAATAATAATAACAATAATAACGCGGGTTTTGAGTTCCGAAACCACGACATGATTATCAGGGACGCCGTAGTGCAGGGCTCCGGAAATTTCGACCATCTGGCGTTTTTTAAGGTGCACTGACATTGCTCAGTGCACGGGCTTGAAGCATTTCGCCTTCATTGAAATGCGACAGCCGTGGTGGGGATCGAACCTGCGACCTTCTTATCAGCAGCCGAGCACCGCATAGCCGAGCTACATCACCGCGGCGTACATTTACGGTGTTTCACGTAGCATACAGCAGCTAAGAGTGAAAAAGAAAAGTTGCTGAATTCAACTGAGTGACCTGCGTCTCGTTGTCGAGTTAAATTACTAAGTAAATAAACATCAGTAATAGAAAAATTAGTTTTCGCCATTTTAGTATTGTACGAGTAGCATGTAAAAACTTTTTCGCGTTCTGTAGTGCCTATTTTTAAACCTCTTGCTGCCAGGTCTGTGACCAGGATTTTTTTTTTCGAGGGAGGGGGGGGGGGCGTGTTTCTTGAAGACAAGGATAAACACTTATTTTTGTCATTTGTTTTCGGTAGAACACCACCCCCTCCCCCCCGATCTGAAATTGTGCCCCTCCACCCCTGGGAGCGGGGAGGCCTTATGTTTTACGCCATGTGGGTGTGTGACGTATGTGCACGTACTATATCATTCGCATTGCTCCTTTCGCTTTCGTCACTGAGATATGAAGCACCAATATTACGCCTCGCGTGATCCGTCATCGTCGTTCGCATAGCAGTTTGCTTTGCCGCATCCCTCCCTTCCTTTTCTGTCTCAGCAGCTCGTGTAACTATTTCATAACCCGCATCGCTCCATGTTGTCGCGCTGTCCCCCGTTCACGTCAAAACGCGTTAAAATGACGAAGTGGGCTCTCCTGCGCGAAACGCGTCAGCTTTGACACGGAAACAGCGTCACGCGGCGTTTGTGCGTGGTCTGTAGGCATTAGTTAATGGAAATAGAGAGAGAGAATTTCATACGTTGAAGATGGGTAACCATGTGGAGCTGACTGGCGACATTTCATTCTCAAAGTTATTCAACGACATTAACAGACAATTCTCTGCGAGAGTTGTCTATAAATCTCTCTCATAGACAACCAGTGTGAGTTGTCCCTTATATCTATCTCCCTTAATCTGCCTTTTTTCCCCTTTAAACTTTCTTACTTCTTTAATCTCTTTTATGGACAGCTTCCAGTAGAAGTTGTCTGTAAGGGATGCGAAAGCGTAGATTCTACGCCGTTTTCGCGTAGAATAGACATGTCCTCTTCTCTGACGTTCTTCGGCCAAATTCACTTTTGGCGCGAAGTTTTCGCTAAACCGAAGGCTGACGTCACGTCCGTGGGTGTGTTTGTGCGTGTGTAACATTTATTTTGGTCGAATTGCTCGGCCTGTAAATTTGGCTGAATGAAAGTCTATTACTACTACTACTGCTATTTTGGTTATGACCCCGTCCGCCTTTCGGTGCAAATGGCCCGGATGTCGCTAAAGAAAAGCTGCATGCATTTAATTATCTTCCTTTCTTTAGGGGCTCATTACATTAATGTCTCGGGCTTGTCGGCGTGTCATAACGTCGTCATGGCCCATCATAAACAATTATGCGCCACAAAAAAAATGGGGTAAATCGCTGTACTGGTACACTAAAAATGAAGAAGACAGAAGTTGGCCAAACAATTGACTGATTGATTGATATGAGGGGTTTAACGTCTCAAAACCACCATATATGATTGTGAGAGACGCCGTATAGTGGAAGGCTCCGCAAGTTTCGAGCACCCGGAGGTCTTCGACTTTCACCCGAATATGAGCACACGGGCCTGAAGCATTTTCTCCTTCATCGAAAATGTAGCCGCCGCAGAGTTAGCCAAACAAATAGCCAACGACGTGTAAGAATTTAATTACATTAATTAACAGGAAGTCGTTGAATTCCGTCGCAAAATTTCTTGCGAGGGTCATGTTTTCTTCTGTGAATAATATCGCCGCTAGTGGCCCACTGAGAGATAGAGAAAGCGCAAAAAAGAAGAAGAACCTTACGGTAATCTGCATTTGACGCAGTTTTGCGATGATGTTAGCGGAGCTGACACACCCTTTCTTAAGGGCCCGGTGTGAGGCTTCATTGTAGTGCCTCGTAAAAGAAATTTCTCCCAAAACAGTGTGACAAATCACCTGGATGATGCCCTTCTTCTTCCTCTTCTTCTTTTTTCTCATATTGCCCATGAGCAGCTATTTTGCTGTGGGAAACACTCGATGGTTCGCGCTCCTCCCCAGGCGCCACGTTAGTGGAACTCAATTACCTTCTATTTCGTGCTTCGATCGCCCTCTCCAGTCTTTTCTTTCTACGTGTGGTGGTCTCTTTACTAAACTCAAGTCACTGCATTCAGAAATGAATGTGAAGTGCGTCGCATGCTGCTATATTGCGTCGGCACGTTGACTTTGATTTACTGTACTGTGGTCCGACTGAACGCTTCGCTGTTCGATATACCTAGAGGATCGGTGGTTCTTTCTTTCTTTCTTTCTTTCTTTCTTTCTTTCTTTCTTTCTTTCTTTCTTTCTTTCTTTCTTTCTTCTTTCTTTCTTTCTTTCCTTCTTTCTTCTTTTCTTTCTTTCTTTCTTTCTTTCTTTCTTTAAACGCGCAGCTATGAAAAAATGCTGACCGACCGAACAACGACCGAGCGTGCTGCATTTCTAGACGGATACATCATTTGGATGCATGTAGTGTGTATGTCCATTTGGATAGAGCCTAGGTGTTTCGCTTTAGCTTTTGCAACGGTGTCCGCCATGAAGCACGGTGTTCGCTTGCCGATCGTCGTTGGCTCTTGCGCACACTCGCGAAAGTGGGAAGCAGGCGCCTCTCTCGCAAGGTGCATAGTTTCGCCCTTCTTTTCTCGCGAGCTCGGTCGACGTTCGCTCAGTCGGGGCTTCGTGTTCCTTCCATCCGTTTCGTGTTTCTTCCATCCGTTTCGTTCTTTCTGTTTTCTTCCTTTCATCGGCTCCGCGCTGTAAGTCGAGTTGCCACCATCCGCACCGGAGCCGCAGTTGCTAGGCGTCCAGGCGGCCCATGCATACTCGTCGTGGTGCCGGGATGCTGAGCTGCTCAATCAACCAAGTCGATGTGATTGGTGTACGTCAATCGAGGGCTCCACTGGCATTCGCACGCTGTCCACCGAATCGCTTAGATGTGGACTAGTTGCTTTGCTGTGTCCGATAAGACGACTTCATAGCAGGAGCAGTGGGAGGATGCATTGGACTGCAGATGTATAGGCGCTAAAGGCGCTTATAAGCATAGGTGTTTGCCTATACCTCGATAGATTTGTTAATTCAGTAAAGTTCTCAAGAAAATGTTTCCCGGAAATTTGCGCACTTCCGCAACGTTCAGGGTGGCAGTAGACATTTTGGCACGCCGTAGTGTGCATTACGCAGGGAAATTTAGGCAAACCGTATACATAGTGAGCGTCAAGTCCTGGATTTTAGAAATTGACCATTGGGGTCATGTTGAAAAGTGGCTCGCCAATCGGCCTGAAACAGAGGAGGTCCTCTCGTGCATAGCAGTGTGACACGCACTGCCGCTATAGCACGACGGATTGCGGTATAACGTTTCAATGTATATAAATTGCGCTGCGTTTGGTGCAGCGTAATTTATGCGCTGCACCGCACGTACTGGCATCGTAAACTTGAGAGATAGTGCAGTGCGCGTCCGTGGTTCTAACGTGTGCGTTTTTTTCTTATTAAGTTGATTTGTGTTAAAACGAACTGAAAGACGCGCGTATACGCTTCGTGCTCGTTAATGTTATACTTAAAGACAGGTTTTGGAAATCCGAACACTCGTGGTCTCGCGGACCATCTACGGAAGACAGGGCCGACTCGGGCTGGCTGGAATAAATCAGTCTCAATAGGCACTAAACACATTCGCTACAAAATAAACCGAGAGACCACAAAAACGAGGCGCTCATTACCGATGGTGATTTGCCAGTAGCAAAGATCCATGCGCATATTTTAAAGAGAAGTCCGGTCTCCAGTTTATAAGCGGTGGTCTTTTTACGAAAATTCCGCGTTCTGAGATCGCGATCGCCGACCCGCATGAGGGAGCTATGCGGCTTCCCAGGAATCGCGGTTGGCAACAGAGGTACGTGTATGCGTACATATAAAAAAAGACTGCCTCTTCCAGCAGCGCTCGGAACATCGTGACAGGCCTTCGCGTATCGCTCTCGTATTGCTCGCTCGTTCGAGCGTTTGACTTCGTACTGCAGGTACTATATAGTGCACGCTATATATCCGCCAGCGCTCATTCACTCCCCTCTCGCCTCGTGCGCAGGTGCGGCAAGACGAGCTCATCGGCGGCCGGCTCCGACGAAGCGTCTTCGGTGCGCCAGCTGCTGCTCAGCGGCGGTTCGTCCTCGTCCAGCCTCGGCTCCTCGTCGGCCCCGGACAGCGGCTATGGGCTGCCCTTCTGCATGGACGATGACCAGGCGACAGAAGCAGCCCCACCGCCAGAGGTCAGTGTGTGACTGGCTCGCTTGTGCACGCTTTCGACGGGCCAACGGAGATCCGACCGGTCTCAAACTCCCTTTAGCTGCATGATGGCACCGCAGTCGCGGAATCGTTTCCCGGTAAACCGAGACAGTTCAAAACGGTAGAGGGAGGAGGATGGGGGCAAAATCGACAAAATGTAACGTAACTCTTTGAATTGATGGCGTGTTCATATATCTCATATATAGGTAAGTTTTTAGAGGGATTTGACTTCTGTTTCAAGTACATCATCGATTATCTGCGGAATGACTGAAATCTGCAAATCTACTAGCTGATTCTGAAATAGTAGGGTTTTTGTTCCACGCTCGTGTCTCAACACGTGTTACATATTGTGGGACGTATACTCAGTCATGTGCGGGCCCGTACCGCGCAAGCTATACCGATTACTTGGTGACTTAGCTGCAGGTAATGAAGTAGTCTCTGTGTAAGGTGGTATAAGCTTTTAATTAAGGTGCTCCCATCTATATATCAGCCACACTTATCGATGTTCTCGTTGAGGAGTTCTTATTCTTTTTCATTTTTTTAACGCGGTCAGTCTCAAATACATTTCAGATGGCTATAGACAGAATCCCAACCGCTTCAATTTTCACGTCTTAAAAGTATTCAACTTGAAATTTGACGAACTTCTTTAACGTTTCACGACGTTATCAGTGTGCTTTAAAACGCTGCATTGTTCAAGCAGGCAGTCGATGGAACGGAAATTGGGTGGAACAGAGTTACGACATCGGATTCGTGTCGGTTGAAACGATGTTATATGAAGAACGACAAGCGCATCATTAAGAAAAAAAATAGACGTGACCGACACATGTACTACCACACAAATCATGCGGGAATCGAGTAATCGATCAAGTTTAATGTAACGCAACGATAATGAAGTCTAATCGCATTATTTTGCCATGTCCGTTTCGTTTCCCACATAACGAAGCGCGCATTCGCGCGAAGCAGTTCGTACTTCCGTGACGGACGATGTGCTGTAATCTCCCCGCGGGATGCGTACGTTGCGATAACGCAAGTCGAGAGGGACGTGTGAAGCAATCGTTTGCACAACGTTACCATAGTCCCTCGCCTGCAGTCGACTCTGACGAACTGGTTAGCCAGCGTATGTAACCCGACGTTGCGTGCCCCGCCGTGTAATTATACGTTCATTACTGAGCTTGCGACGCTCTCCGTGTGGAGAGAGCCACCACAGCCCGCGTGTCACTGTATAAGCGATTCCGCGAAGTACAGTGGCCTTGAGAGCTAACGCGACGACGAAAAAAAAATAAGAAAAGAGAGGGCGTTACTAGCCTTTTAGGCGCCTGTTCATGGTCCTCCGTTGAAGGAAAGGTGAAGGGGGAAATAATCATCCCCCCCCCCCCTCACGTTACTTTTTTTTTTTTTTGCTCGCAGTCCGAAAGAAAGGAACCTTTGCAATGGTTGCAAAAAGGAAAATTAAGGTACGACGTGCTCGCTTCGCTTGTCTCTGGTGTCCGGATTTTCGAAAGGCACTTACTTATTGCAATGCAACATCCATGGTCTACACCCTCTAGTATGTTTAAAAAAGAACTTCGTGTCTATTTATCCTAACTTTAAACGATGACGCGACAAGTTCTACTGTGTAAAAAATATATGGGGCCGGGCTGGCACCCTGCTTAGGTTACGAAGAAAAAAAAAGGGGGGGGGGCGGTCGTCGCCGCTTTTTTCTCCTGTGCTCCCGTTAACGTAACGTGGGTAAATGCGCATCTCCGAATGTCTTATATAGGCAATAATTTTAATGAAATAAACAAAATCTGCGGTTGTCCAACGCGTCGAGCGCCGCGTCTCATCGGCTGCATTTAACGAGCAGGGAGCGGCCGAGAATCGTCCCCTCTCGGTTGATGCTAATTAGTCGGGTGTCGCAAGCCACTCTCTCTATACTAGCATTTGGTTCCTTTTGCGAAACTTGGCTCATGCGTGTCTCTTGAAAGCTGCAGCCGTGAAGCAGTATCTTCGCCGCCGCAGATTCCCGCCGGGAAGCTTTCGAGGCGGCCCGTCGAGAGATTGCGTTGTCGACGTGTCTCTCCTTCAGTCCTTCACGCTCTCGCCGTACTGCTGCCGCTGCTGCTGCTCTTGGTGTTCTCGTCCTGTCTAGGATGATATTTTCTTTTTTTTCTTTTTCCTGCACGTTGATGTTCGCGGACGATTCGCTTTCGCCACGCTGTAAATCTGTATACGCTTGAGCGCTGAGCGTTTGTGTTAGTGCTATATAAGCGAAGTGAGTGGAAAGGCAGACGAGGCATTCGAGGGGCGGGGGGGGGGGGGGGGGGAGGCTGAAACGTGGCGACAAATCTTCGAGCAGGGAACGCCGTCGAAGCCAACACTTCGACGACTGAACTCGAACCAAGTCCTCGCGTCCAAGCATCGGCACATAGTTACTTTCTCTTCCGAAACACTACTATTGCTTATATTATCAGAGTAACGTACCTATAGTGTCCCGCCGCGGTGGTCTAGTGGCTAAGGCACTCGGCTGCTGACCTGCAGGTCGCGGGATCGAATCCCGGCTGCGGCTACTGCATTTCCGATGGAGGTGAAAATGGTGTAGGCCCGTGTGTACGTTAAAGAACCCCAGGTGGTCGAAATTTCCGGAGCCCTCCACTACGGCGTCTCTCATAATCATATGGTGGTTTTGGGACGTTAAACCCTATACGTATCAATCAATCATCGTTACCTTATAATCGACCAGTCGCGCGTGGCCTTCTCCGACTATACTTACGCGCACACTTTCGTTCAAAGCGGCTTTATGGGCACCGCGCGAGCGCCGCATATAGTTTAAGATTGTATTCTTGGAACATATGCGCACTTTACGATTGTATTCATTATCATATCGCCATTGGCTTTTTTATTATTATTTTTTTCAAATCGCCGTTCGGGACGGCAGCGTAAGCACTGAGAGAGCTATCGTGTGTGTGCCTATACCGCGTAATCTGTAACGCGTAATGTGTATAATATACGATATCTTACACAATGGAAAGAATATTCATACGCGTTGTACGCGGTGTTCCGTCGTTCCAGCTGCGCAATAATAGGAAACGCGTTGTATACGCCTGTGCGACGTTCAATTATAATCATCCAACCAGTGCATGCTCGCCTCTCTGCGCGCTCGAAAATTTTTTAGCGCGCGTATTAAAAGAAGGGGTGGTCATTGAAAATCGATGAACGCCTCTTCCCACACCACTGTTTCGTGAATTCGTGTACAGGCATTTCGTTGGGCGTATATACACCACGCGTTTTCGCGGCAGCTGTCTTTTCGCAACGCGTCGTCGGAATCGCCTCAACTCCCGATCTTCTGCCTTACGTGCTGCGGCAGTCGTCGTGCCCCGGGGATTATAAGTATCGGCTATACGTGTGCGCGACCCGGCCGGCCTGTCAGAGCGCTCGGAAAAATTACGCCCCGACACCTGCAGCATGCAGTCCGCCGGGGATTCCAGCAGCTCTCGCTTTGTGCTGCCTCCTATGCAGTATGTATAGGATAGAACGGCTGCAGGTATATATCGGCCGCTTTCTGCGGCTACATATATAGCAAACCGCGACGCGATGTGTTGCTAAGCGCCGTATGGCGAAATAGCGGTCGCAAGAGAACCGATGTCGAAATGTATACTTTCAAAGTATATTTCGGGACAGGGAATACTTTCGCACCTTAGCCATTAAAAGCATTGCCGAGGAAGTTCCGTTTTGTGTGAGTTGGAACTGACGCGGCTCCGACGCGACACGGTTTTTTTGTGTGACTCGCTGTATATGCGGCGCTCGCTTCATAACCGTCGTCTCAGGTGAGGTGGCTGAAATATACATACCCGTATGAAAAATTTGGGTTTCACTCCGCCGTTGTTTGCGCTCGTGTTATTCTGCAGGGTGGACGGGTGTTTTGCCAGCTGCTTATGGCAAATGTTCTCGCGGTAATTTTGTCGTTCCCGTTGTTCGTCAGGGGCACAAAGAATATACGGCATATAAAGCATTTGGGCGGTGGTTATATGGGTGAATATGAAATTCTTTTTGAATGCAATATATTGCAAGTCCCTGAATGTTGACTGTTCTGAAAGTTTGTCTGATAATGTAACCTTACCAAAGTAAAGGACCGGAGCCTGGTCAGCTTAAATAAAGCGCTAGTTTGATTAATTTCCGGGGCGTTTCATTTTTCGCCACTTCCCTCCTGTTCCCAGGCAGCGCGTTTGACTTTGTTGTGTACGATGAAACTTGTTTTAGGGTATGGAGCCGGGGCTTCTGGATCCACGCATTTCATTTCTGGCTTCACGTACGTCTTTAAACCGGCAGGTTTATATGTACGGCCGTCTATCTTCTTATACAAGTACTGCACTCCATACGACAGTGACAGGGTATTGCAGTGAAAGCAAGCAACTGGCGTCAGCCACTCGGGACGTACAGGGCGCCGTACAGCAAGACTCCTTCTAACTTTCCATCCAAAATATCATTGGGAAGTGGAGTAACGGGTATCATCATCAGCAGCAGCAGCCTGACTATACGCCCACTGCGGGACAAAGCCTCTCCCATGCATGTTCCACCAGTCAACTCGGTCCTGTGCTTGCTGCTGCTATACTTATTACTCGCAAACTTCTTAATTTCACCAGCCCACCTAACTTTCTGTCTCCCCTCGTGCGTTTGACTTCTCTGGGAATCCAGTCAGTTACTCTTAATGACCAGCGGTTATCTTGCTATCGCGCTACGTGCCCTGCCCATGACCATTTCTTCTTCTTGGTTTCGACTGTGATATCATTAACCCCGGTTTGTTCCCTGACCCACTCTGCTGTCCTCTTGTGTCTTAAGGTTATAACTATCATTTTCCATTCCTTCGCTCACTGCGTCGTCCTCAACTTAAGCTGAACCCTTTTTGTAATTCTCTAGAGGTTTCTGCTCCGTAGATGCAGCCGGTCAGATGTAGACCGGTAAGATTCCTTTTGAGGGATAGTGGCAATATGCCAGTCATGATTTGAGA